GATCAGACTTTTTGGGGACCACTGGACTCTGGCTCTGAACTGATGTTGATTCCAAGGGACCCAAAACGTTATTGTTGTCCCCCAGTTAAAGTACGGGCTCATGGAGGTCAGGTAATTAACGGTGTCTTAGCTCAGATCCAACTTACAGTGGGTCTAGTGGGTCCCTGGACTTATCCTGTTGTCGCTTTCCCAGTGCCAGAATGCATAATTGGCATAGACATACCTAGCAGCTGACAGAATCCCCACACTGGCTCCCTGACAGGTAGGGTGAGGGCTATTACAGTGGGTAAGACCAAATAGAAGCCATTAGAACTGCCTCTACCTAGAAAACTAGTAAATCAAAACCAATATCGCATCCCTGGAGGGACTGCAGAGATTAACGCCACCATCAAGGACTTGAAAGATGCAGGGGAGGTGATTCCGATTCCCACCACATTCCCATTCAACTCTCCCATTTGTCCTGTGCAGAAGACAGACGGATCTTGGAGAATGACAGTGGATTATCATAAGCTTAACCTAGTAGTGACTCCAATTGCAGCTGCTGTATCAGATGTGGTTTCATTGCTTGAATGAATTGACGCATCTCCTGGTATCTGGTATGCAATTATTGATTTGGCAAATGCCTTTTCCTCCATTCCTGTCCATAAGGCCCACCAGAAACAATTTGCCTTCATCTGGCAAAACTAGGAATACTCTTTCACTGTCTTACCTCAGGGGTATATCAACTCTCCAGCTTTGTGTGATAATCTTGTTCACAGAGATCTTGATCACTTTTCCCTTTCACAGAACATCATACTGGCCCATTATATTGATGACATTATGCTGATTGGATCCAGTAAGCGAGACGTAGCAAACACATTGGACTTATTGGTGAGACATTTGCATGCCACGTGTTGGGAAATAAACCCACCTAAAATTCAGATACCTTTTACTCAGTAAAATTTCTAGGGCTCCTGTGGTGTGTGGCCTATATCTTTATATCCTTCTAAGGTGAAGGAAAAGTTGCTGCATTTGGCCCCTCCTACAACCAAGAAAGAGGCACAATACCTAGTGGGCCTATTTGGATTCTGGAGGCAAAACATTTTCATCTGGATGTGTTACTCTGGCCCATTTATCAAGTGACCCCAAAGGCTTCTGATTTTGAGTGGGGTCCAGAACAGGAGAAGGCTCTGCCGCAGGTCCAGGCTGCTATGTAAGTGGTTTGCTACTTGGGCCATATGACCCAGCAGATCCAGTGGTGCTTGAAGTGTCAGTGGCAGATAGGGATGCTGTTTGGAGCCCTTGGCAGGCCCCCATAGGTGAATCACAGCAGAGGCCTCTAGGATTTTGGAGCAAGGCCCTGCCATCTTCCACAGATAACTACTCTTCTTTTGAGAGACAGCGCTTGGCCTGTTACTGGGCTTTGGTGGACGTTTGACAATGGGTCATCAAGTCACCATGCGACCTGAACTGCCTATCATGAACTGGGTGCTTTCTGACCCATCTAGCCATAAAATGGGTCATGCACAGCAGTATTCCATCATCAAATGGAAGTGGTATATATGTGATGTTGCTAAAGCAGGTACTGAGGGCACAAGTAAGTTACATGAGGAAGTGGCTCAAATGCCCATGGTCCCCACTCCTGCCACCCTGCCTTCTCTTCCCCAGCCTGCACCCCTCATGGGGAGTTCCCTATGATGAGTTGACAGAGGAAGAGAAGACTAGGGCCTGGTTCACAGATGGCTCTGCATGATATGCAGGCACCACCCGGAAGTGGACAGCTGCACCACTACAGCCCCTTTCTAGGACATCTCTGAAGGACAGCAGTGAAGGGAAATCTTTCCAGTGGGCGGAACTTCAAGCAGTGCACCTGGCTGTGCACTTTGCTTGGAAGGAAAAATGGCCAGATGTGTGATTATATACTAATTCATGGGCTGTAGCCAATGGTTTGGCTGGATGGTCAGGGACTTGGAAGAAGCATGATTAGAAAATTGGTGACAAGGAAATTTGGGGAAGAGGTATGTGGATGGACCTCTCTAAGTGGTAAAAAACTGTGAAGCTATTTGTATCTCATGTGAATGTTCACTAAAGGGTGACCTCAGTAATCAAGTGGATAGGATGACTCATTCTGTGGATACCACTCAGCCTCTTTCCCCAGCCACCCCTGTCATCACCCAATGGGCTCATGAACAAAGTGGCCATGGTGGCAGGGATGGAGGTTATGCATGGGCTCAGAAACATAGACTTCCACTCACCAAGGCTGACCTGGCTACAGCCACTGCTGAGTGCCCAGTTTGCCAGCAGCAGAAACCAACACTGAGCTCTCGATGTGGCACCATTCCTCAGGGTAATCAGCCAGCTACTTGTGACAGGTTGATTATATTGGACTTCTTCCATCATGGAAAGGGCAATGGTTTGTTCTCACCAGAATAGATACTTACTCCAGATATGGGTGAGCCTATCCTGCACGCAATGCTTCTGCCACAACTACCATCTGTGGACTCATGGAATGCCTTATCCACTGTCATGGTATACCACACAGCATTGCCTCTGACTGAGGCACTCACTTTATGACCAAAGAAGTGCAGCAATGGGCTCACGCTTATGGAATTCACAGGTCGTACCATGTTCCCCCTCATCCTAAAGCAGCCAGATTGATAGGATGGTGGAATGGCCTTTTGAAGTCAAAATGACACCACCAACTAGGTGACAGTACTTTGCAGGGCTGGGGCAAAGTTTTCCAGAAAGTTGTGTATGCTTTGAATCAGAATCTAATATATGGTACTCTTTCTCCTAGAGCCAATATTCATGGGTCCAGGAATCAAGGGATGGAAATGGAAGTGGCATCACTCACCATCACCCCTAGTGACCCTCTAGCAAAATTTGTGCTTCCTGTTCCTGTGACATTACAACATTACATTCTGCTGGCCTAGAGGTCTTAGTTCCAGAGGGAGGAATGCTGCCACCAGGAGACACAACAATGATCACATTAAACTGGAAGTTAAAATTGACACCTGGATACTTTGGGCTCCTCCTACCTCTAAGTCAACAGGTTAAGAAGGGAGTTACAGTGTTGGCTGGGATTATTGGCCCAGTCTGTCAAGATGAAATCAGTCTACATATGAGATCCCTTAGGGCGTCTCTTATACCATACCCTGTGATTAAGGTCAATGGGAAACTATAACAACCCAATCCAGGCAGGACTACAGATGACCCAGAGCCTTCAGGAATGAAGATCTGGGTCACTCCACCAAGTAAAAATTCATGACCCAACGAGGTACTTGCTGAAGGCAAAGGGAATACAGAATGGGTAGTAGAAGAAGGTAGTCATCAATACCAGCTACAACCACATGACCAGCTGCACAAACAAGAACTGCAATTGTCATGAGTATTTCCTCCTTATTTTGTTAAGAACATGTTTGTGCATGTATACACTTGTACTAAGGAAATATCTTCATTTTATTTCCTTTCTTTTTCATTTATCATATGGCATAAGATTTATTGACTTTATATCAGCATTTAAGTGTTGTTAACTTTATGTAATAGCATTTAGGTTAAGGATTAGTATACTTCCATTTGTACAAAGAATAGTTGTATTATGTTAGGCATAATTATGACCTTATTATTGATTGTCTTTATTTGAAGACTATGTATGTTAGGAGATGCATGGGTTCAAGTTGACAAAGGGTGGACTTGTGATGGTTAATACTTTATGTCAACTTGATTGGATTGAAGGATGCAAAGTATTGTTCCCGAGTATGTCTGTCAGGGTGTTGCCAAAGGAGATTAACATTTGAGTCAGTGGGCTGGGAGAGGCAGACCCACTCTCAATCTGGGTGGGCGCCATCTCATCAGCTGCCAACATGGCTAGAATCAAGCAGGCAGAAGAAGTTGGAAGGATTTGACTCGCTGAGTCTTCCGGCCTTCATCTCTCTTCTGTGCTGGATGCTTCCTGCCCTCAAATATCAGACTCCAACTTATTCAGCTTTTGGACTCTTAGGTTTACATCTGTGATTTGCCAGGGGCCCTGGGCCTTCAGCCACAGACTGAAGGCTGCACTACCAGCTTCCCTACTTCTGAGGTTTTAGGACTCAGACTGGCTTCCTGCTCCTCAGCTTGCAGATGGCCTATTGTGGGACTTCACCTTGTGTTTGTGTGAGTCAATACTTCTTAATAAATGTCGCTTCATATATACATTTATCCTATTAGTTCTGTCCCTCTAGACAACCCTTACTAATACAGGTTCCGAGGAAAACATGGCTACCTTGCAACAGAATTGAGAGTAAATAAACATGGCCCAGAAATCCCGCATTTACAGGGAATAAAAAAAAAAAATCTATATTGAGAAAATTTCTGTTAACATGAACTAAAAGCGATTGTGACTTTTTGAGATATAAAACTTCTTCTAGTCTCCTCCTACCCCAACCTTCCACAGGGAGGATGCAGGCTGAGAGGGTGACTCAGACACCAAATAGGGCATATTCTCCAATGCCCTCTTTAGAAGTGACCAAGGGGGATTTTGGCAAGGGACCTCCCAAAGAGTAGAGCCAAAAACCACAGAGAAATAATGAACTAAGATTTGGGGAGCTCAGCCCAGGGAGCAGTAATGGGGTCTAAGCCAGTAAGAATATTCCCTTCTCCCAAGGTAGGGGAAGCTGGCAACATTCATCAACCAGGATTTCACGTGTCTATAAACCATGACCGCTATGTGCATCTTACTCTTCTGCTATTAGAATGACGCCAGCAGGGGATGAGATTTGGAAGGATTTTGGGATGGACACAAGCACCTGTGGGAGGGATGTGAAGAAAGGTAATGGAAAGCAGACTAGGGTTGATCGAATTATTGGTGCCAGTTCTTTTTTTCCCTCATAAGAGAATCAGACATAACTCATTCTTGCCATCTTCTCAAGGAAAGCAGAGGATACTTCCCCATCCCTCACTTTAGGTGGGGCCATGTGACTTGCTTTGGCCAATTAGAAGTTGGCAGACAGGAAGCAAGCAGATGCTTACAATGTGCTGCGTGGTTGCACTCAGCCTCTTGCCCGCTAGGAGACTCCCATGAGAAGAGCTTACCCCTGCTAGCAGGTATCCCTTCAACCTGGACTCCAAAATGAATACAGAGCAACATACCTGAGACCAGATCTGCAGCCTGCATCCAAGACCGGTTTACCTGAAGCCAAAAGCAGAGTCTTATTCCAGCTAACCTGCAAACATATGCAAAATAAGTAAGTGTTTATTGTTTTCTGCCACACAGATTTAATGTTTGTTATATGGCTTTATTAAGGCAATAGTAGACTAAGATACGTATTTTCCCATGTCATTTCATATTCTTTAAAAAGCACTCTTGTAAATGCATTGATTCCATTGAAAAATTTCATTTAGTTAACTATTTCCTGATTTCTGAAGTATTAGGGATTTTACTAAATCTGGTTTTTTGCCTCTATTTTTTGCTTTTTGTAACAATGCCATTAATAACATATTAATCCATAATTTTTTTCCATACTTTGATTTATTTTCATAGGGTTAAAACTGGATAATAACATCTACTTCACAGAGCTGTTGTGATGATTAAGAGACTTAAAATAATTAAGTGCTAAACATATCATCTTTCATGTAATAAGCATTCAGTAATGATTGTTATTGTTTTTTGTTGTAGAGTTCCAAAAGTAAGAAAAACAATTCCAAGATCTTGATATGAAATGTAAAACTATTTTCCAATAGTTATACCAATTTATACTGCTAACAGCATCATGTGAGTTTTAGCATACCTTCAAACAACTCCATTTTTTTAACCTTGGCTATTTTGACAGCTGAGAAATAATATCTTGCTGATATTTTAATTTTTATAGTTTTTATTACAAGTGAGGTAGAAATTATTTTATAAATTGTCTAACCATTCATATTTTCTCTTCTGCAAATTACCCAGTTAACACGTCCATTTAACATGCCCACTTCCATCCAGTCATGATGTTGGTCTTTCTCTGACCTGATAGACTTACCTGGTGCCAAAGACCTGATTGACTTCCGGGTGTTTCTGTGGCCACTGGGCACTTGAAGTGTTTCTATTGCCACAAGTTGATATGATAATATTTTGGATATAGTGAGTTTAATGAAATATAGTATTAGAATTTATTGTATATGTTTCTTTTTACTTTTTAAAATATAGCTACTAGACAATTTTAACTACATATTTCTATTGGACAGAGCTACTTAGACCTTTGAATATCCCTTGCTCTGAAATTCTTCTTTGTCAAAACTCTCACTGCCCACGCCCTCATGTTGGGTTCTCCTGCTATTACATGGTCTATCACCTGTAGTCTGTTGTCATACCTTCTAGATAATGCTGTGTTGAGTCCAATCCATCTCCTCCAAGTCCCTGCTGCATTTCATTCTCTGAGTCTCACCTCCTCCTAATTCAGTTCCATCCTCCTGTGATGAATCCTTCCAGGTCTCACAACACATCTCAATTAGGTTCTATTACAGATTCCTGGATGAAATGGCAAACTTGATAAGGATTTTTAAATCCTATAATGTGTGTTAAATAGATTATACTCACTGCTATCTACATGTTTATATTCCATTTATTCTATTTTCTAGCAATAAAACACATGGCTTTTCAAATGCTGAGTATTTTTTATTTGAAAGTGCCATTGAAAGTTTACAAACATACAAAGCTAGTAAACAATTGCATATGTTTTTCAAATTCCCCTACCTCTGCCCACACCGTCAAACGTAACCACTGTGAATCCTCTCAAAACCACAGTTGGTGAAGACAGGCAAAGGTTATATCTGTAGCCACGAACCCTCAAAAGTTTCCTAACACCAACTCTAGCTGACTAAAATGTCACAGACATTTACTCATAATCCCTGGGGTTTTTGAATCTATAAGGCAGCATGGGTATGGGTTAACTTACCTGGCTACATTAGAATTTTTAAAAGCCCTTTATGAAGGATTCAAGAAAAAGAAGTCTATAATGCCGATGCAAAGTAGAATTCTTAATGTATTGAAAGGGATTACCATATGTAACGTGGAAAATCAACCTCGTTTTTTAGATCCACAGCTCTTTTCTTGTTGCCTGAATTCATAATTGTGAGGCTCGTTTGCCTTAGGGAAGTATCTGCAGCACATTTTTAATGCCAGACCAGCTCCTTCCGCCGTTCTTGCGCCTTTCCAGCAGGCTATTTCCCACCTCCCCCAACATCCCCATGGCTGCCCAGGAATTAAAACCAATTTGAATATGTAATCATGTGGAATAATAAGCACAAGTGTACTCTCTGGGGTGCTCTCTGGCTGCTACTCATCTCCTTGCATCTAGTTTCCTAAGTGCCTTTGAGAGATGCTGAGAACGCCATGTTGACGGTTAACCTTTCAACAGTTTTGCCATTCTCTGTTCACCCTGGCTACAAGCCCAGCTCTAAAGGAGGCACAGGAAGTGGGGTGAAGGAAGGGTTTCCTTCCTTCTGAGACTCACTGGAGAAACATTCTCCATAGCCTGAGGAAGAGAGTTGGGCAGGCTTTGAATAGTGTATTTTTAAAACATTCATTATTCTGACAATGGAGTTTCATGAAACTAGCTTTTATTCCTTTTATGCAAGTCAAATAGAGATTTCCCAAAACACATTACCATACCAGGAAGTAAATAACTATTGCCTTGTTTTATGAATATGAGAAATTTCTGTGAAGATGCCTAAATATTTTGATTAATTTAAAAGTAGATGAGCTGATGTGTAGGTATTTACAACATCAAAGTACTTTTCTGATTGAATCAGTTTCAAAAAGGCAATATAAAAGGTAGAGCATTCATCTTAAATAGCAATTTAGAAGTGGATGTGTTGGGTATTCTGAGGCATTCAAAATCTGATTATTTTGATACCAATACTGCTATTTTGATGCAAACACTACAGTGATCAATTTGGTGGATGTAAGGGGAGGGCCTCACTTTGTATCTAGTATTCCTTATTAAAATGTAAAAGCATCCACTGTACCTCTTGAATACATAAGAATAATGAACAGTACCAGTAAATATCTGAATTGCAATCAGTGTTGTTTTGCCTGTATCATCTCATTTCATCTTCAAAGCATGTGTCTGGGAGACAGATATTATTAGGATTAATCACTGATGTTGCTGAGATTGAGACTTCCTTCGCAGTTGGTTATAAAGATCTAAGAATAAATCATCTTTCTTGAACTCGAGCATATCCATTAAGGTCAGAATTTCTGCAGATTGAGCTTGAGCTATTTTTAGGTAGGGTTCTAAAAAGCAGCTGCAATTCAAGTGTCACAGTGCATGCCTTTTTGGCTCAGCAGTTGATACTTCTTTTTCGTGCTATTCTCCCTCCCCAGACTCCTGGGACCATCGCATAGAGGGTGCTTGGGACATGCTGCACTGGACTATGCACACACCCCATGTCTCCAACATGACTATAAGCCCCTTGAGTTTTACAATATGCAAAACCTTAGCACAGAGCTCTATGCAATTAATATTGACCAATGTTCATTGATAATAAGGTTCTATAAAATTTCAGAGGCCACCAGGATGCATCACGGTCCTGACTCCAAGGCGGAAGACTGAGAGTCACCAAGAACTGAGACATGCTGTCGAGCCACAATCAGAAGAGAAACTGGAGTTGAGAAAGAGCCAGGCCTGGCCACACAGAGAAGTGAAAACCTCCATTTAATGGTCAGAGGCACAGTCCAAAGTTAGGCATCAGAGAAGTGTTCCGTTTTGGTCATTATTATTTCTTAAGAATCTTTCTGAGCACTCTCAAAACTAAACGGCTGGAGGTCCAAGGCCCTTGCTCTCAGTGTCTGATCAGCTGCTGTCATCTGCCCCATGGTTTTTTCCATCCTTCCTAGCAGCACAAACCAACTGGTTTAGCCTAACATTGATAAAACTATACAATCTTAGATTTGGAAGGATGCTTTAAAGCAAATAGCAAAGCCCTCAGCTAATTTTCTAATTTTGTTGCTATAAGAATAAAGAATTTAATGTGGGTATGGAGGGAGAGTTATTTGGGTCCATTTTTCTTCTGGTCTTTCCCCTTTTCCAAGTGTATAGGCAATCCTGCACTCGTTGCCTCAGGAAGGGGAGGCAATTAGTCAGAAGATATAAATAGCCAACTGGCGCTTTTTGTCTCTGTGTTTTAAAAGGGGGAACTTAGAATTTTGGGGATGATGTAAAGATCAAATGTGTGGGAGAAAGACAGGTCAAAGAGCATTGACTTCCTCCACCCACTGCCTAAAATAGGATTCTCTGAGGTCTGAGGCAAGGAGAGTGAAGAGCAGATAATGATGAGAACAGACAAAATGAGGGGTTCAAGAGCCAAGTTCCCTTCCTTCTGGGCAGTTCCCAGGAGGAGGTAGCAATACCCCAAAGTGATGGCTTCATGCAAAGTCTAGGCACACCAGTTCATTGCCTCTTAAAGATTTCTGGCGTGAACCCAGGAGGCGGAGCTTGCAGTGAGCCGAGATCGCGCCACTGCACTCCAGCCTGGGTGACAGAGCGAGACTCCATCTCAAAAACAAACAAACAAACAAGATTTTCAGCCCTCAAGCTATGCAGCAAAACATCTATGTGAGCCTCCAGTTCTAAAAGGCCATGCTGCAAGCCAAATACTGTCTCAGGGTGACTCAATGGGAACAGATGGCTCAGGGACCAGAAGGCTCACCCTCCCTCAATGTGCTGCTCAAGGTACTAAGTAAATCCCAACAGGGTCTTTGTCTCAATCCCCGGGAAGAAGAGAGAAACCAACAATAATCTGAGATTGCTACCCTTAGCCTGCTAGTACAAAGATAAAACATCAAATTGAGTTAGAGGAAATGTTATTTTTCTAGGTCAATGCAGTCTGTGGACTGAGATTCATAGATCTACTATACACATAAACACATGTAAAACTACCTAACACATAAAATGTTACCTATATTATTAGCAATATAATATTATCACTGAGTTGAAAGTCAGCTACAAAATCTGAACGTCAGTTGACCTCCACGTGGTTATCTTATGTCCAGATGAAAAAACGTTGGCTCAAGTCATTGCCTTTTAAAAATCCATTATTAAAAGAGAAAATACTAATTAAACATTCATTGTCACTTTAGGGTAAAGAGAAAAGAAGAAGGTGGAGTAAGTGTCTAGCTTTATTCCACAGGAATTTGTCCTCGTCTCTGCTTCATTCAGCACTCTGACAATTCCTTGGCAAAGTGTAGAATGTATATGCATCTCTATTAAATATTTTCCTCTGCTAGATTTGACTCTTTCAACTACGTTCCTTTTTATTTTTATTTTTATTTTTATTTTTTTAGAGATGGAGTCTCGCTCTGTTATCCACCCTGGGGTACAATAGCATAATCATAGCTTACTGTAAACTTGAACTCCTGAGCACAAGTGATCCTCCCACCTCAGCCTCCGAAAGTGCTGAGATTACAAGTATGAGCCACCATGCACAGCCCAATTATGCTACTTTTGAGTATTAATTAAGACAACTGAGATTTTGGCTGCCCACCCAACATCACATTGTGTTAAATTTAAGCACCATATGAATGTACTTCTTTAATAACTTCTTTACTATTTTCCTTGTTCTTCCATTTTACTATTTCTGCATACCTCCTAATATAGACCATTCAGTCTATCTCCCTTTTCCTCTCCTACACCCTGCTAGCTCAGCACGAGCTGCTGGAGAAAACTCCCACATCAGTGCAGATTGGTGTCACAACCGAAGCAAGGCTTCCAAATGCAGCTGGCCATCAGCATTTCGGAGGAATGTCTCGCCTCCCTTGGCCAGGTGGCACCACTCTCTCCTGATTCTCCTCCTGCCTCCCCACTCTTTGTTTCTCAGTCTTCTTTGCAAGCTCTTTTTCTTCTTTTCTTAGATATTCATGCTCCCTGCATTCTGGCGGGTGCTCTCATTCAATATGCCCCTCCTGGGAAATCTCAGGCACTGTGATAACTTTGACAATCTGTACAAGCTAATGATTCCCAGATCCTTATCTCCAGCCCAGGGCCTTCTGAGCTCCATGTCTGTAAGTTAATAGACATCTGTAGCTACATCATTAACACATTTTAAACACAAGCCCTAAAATTAACTCATTTTCTATTATCTCATCCAGCAACTCCTATATTTCCAATTTTGATAAAGACCATCTTTCTGTGTGTGCATGTATATACTTGGTTTGATCTCTGTTCCATTCTTCCTAGAATGTTTGATTGTATCCCATGTTCATTAGCACATGACCATATTGGCTATTTCTCCAATAAAAAATGAAACAGACCATGTGCCTGCACCTAACTAGTACTCAATAAATAGTTGCTAAGTGAATCATTTCCATGATCCAATAGTTTAATAATCTTATCAAAAAAGACAATAAGTATACTGATAAAACTTACATTTAAGAACCAGTGACCCCACTTTATACTCATTCTTTTCCTTTCCTAAATGCTGATGATCGATTCATTTACTACTTCACTTGGGGTACACATCAAGCTTATTGGTTTATAATTCATAAAGTTATGAGAATGAGTAGACACTTTCTCTTCTTTCTTTTGGAATTCAGAATTAAAATGGGTCTCTGTGGATGCATGGGCACATGCTCATACTCTGTAATTCCTCATCAATTGTCATTTATGGTTCCACAACCTTACCTGCCCTTTCTCAGGAACCAATGACCTGGTTTATACAAACATGGCTAATATGAACTCATTTGGATAGCTCTTTCTGATTCTTAGAGAAATCTAAGAATTTAGATTCCTCTTACTAATATTTATTTTTCCCTTCTGACTGAAAATACTTCTCTTTGACCAAAAAGAAAAAAATTCTAACACCAATTCAATATTTCTGGAATTTTTTCTCCTATTGTCTATTAACATTAATTTTCCTTAAGTAATCAATATTCTTTTCTTATTTTTCTCACTCAAAAAGTGACTGTGAGACTCCACTTTTGTTGTCCTTTGTGCTTTTTGCAAACCTCCACTCATTCTGGGTTTTAACTTTCCTGACTCAGCTTTTCCAGTTTCCCAACTCAGCTTTTCCAGTTTCCTGACTCCGTTTCTGCTTAGTTTCTTTCCTCTCCTTCCAGCTCATGGTTGTATTATTCTAAAATTAGTATTACAATCCAACAAATATGTTGACAAATAATAGTTATTGAGCATTTATTAAGTGCTAGACACATCACATTCAATTTTTTAATTTCACCATAACCCAGTGGAGTAGTTATTACTAAGATCCCTCTGTTATAGATGAGGAAATGAGACTTAATGAGATTCAGAAGTTTCCCAGTGTCACAGAGCTAGTAAACTACAGATCCAGAGGCTTAAGCCCAGGTCTGAATGACTAAAAGCCAAGGCCCTACTGTCTAAGTTTAGTCTTCTTCTGTGTGAAAAGTACCAT